ACTAAACCTATAAATATATGCACATAGATCTATTTCCCCATCATCATATATATGAATATATTTACATATGTACATGCCTGTATTTAGACCTCCATAAATGCCCTTTGCCTCTTAGTTCTTTCCTCTATTTACCTCTACTTTCCTCTTGTCCTACTATCATGCTCAGCATTCATTTGGGTTTCAGTAATTCCTCTCAGTTATATTACCCTTGATCAAGTGCTACCAGGCCTCCTACACCCTCCTCACACCCAATTTGGATCACTTGTTGTTCCCTTGTGCCTGGGTTTGTGAACACCACTTCCTTTCCCCCCACCTCCTCCACTCCCATGTCCCCCTAGAACTGTCGGTCCTGTTGTTTTCTCCTCCAGATTGTTCATCCAGCCTATCTTATTTAGATAGACCTGCGGCGATAATAACATGCACAAAAACAATACAGAGCAAAACAAATCAACCAAAGAAAACAAAACAACAAAAAGCCAATGACCAAAAAAATCCAAACCACATCAACAACAAAAAAGAAAAGCTTGTAGTTAGTTTTAGTTCAAAGACTGTTGGCCTTTAGGAGTGTTTCTGGTAGAGTCTGATGGGGTGCCAAGGCCTGGCCTCAAAGTCTATTTTTGGCATTCCCCGGGGACTGTTCCCCTTGCTGTTCTGTTGCCTGGCCTTAGTGTTTGCCTCAGTGTTGTGGGATCAGATCGGGTGCAATTCCCACACTGTGTCTCCAGTGTTGTCCCCTGTAGGGCTATGGGTCAGTGAGGGATGTCATGTCTCATAGTGGGGTTGTCCATATGGTCTTCTCTGTGGATTGGCTGCTCTGAAGTGGAATATCGTCCTCAAAGCTTGGTGGGCTAGGATGTGCTCCACTCTCTCTTCCTCCCCCTTCATTTGCTCCCATGTGCTCTAATCAGACACATCCCTCTCCCTGAGCTGCAGATTCAGTGCTGTCCTCTGAAATAAATTATTCTTTGGGGAGGGGCAGGTATCCAAATAGTGTTGATTGGGGCCAGCCCCT